ATGAAAATCGTTTCAACAACTGACATTTTTACTGAGAAGACAAAACCAAAAGAACATTTTTAGAAAGTGATATAAAAACACTGCAGTTTCTATGGCTCTCTGATTATCTGCCTTTTTTTTAAACTGGACATTAGTGTGGTCACAGGTGATCATCTCAAGAAGGCTAAATCAGAGCAGTCAAAACACTCTGAAATATCCTAGACCAAATGATCCATGTAATAAAGACCAATGACATTTTACAGATACCATTCTGTCCCCCCAATGCTAATCTGAACCTTAACATGCCTACTTACTTCTAATGCTGTTAACTGTTCCTTAGCACCATGGGGATGGAGCTTAGAATCTCTGAGGCAATCAGTCGACAAGTCATTTCCTACTGGAGTGAAGGTGAGAGAAACTGATGCTGCAGTGTTTCACTGGGGCTCGATTCTGAATCGGCTACAATCTCCATTCATTCCATTAAACAGACTTCAATCTTTTTAAGAACAGAAACAGTGAGCTAATTATTAATCTATACTTTCAATGTTCTGATATTGCTCATTGCAGCAAAACTCAATGTAGCAATTAACTCTCTTCAACTAAATCTATCTCTAAACTTCAGTGAAGACATTGCAAATATGTTATGTGTACAGTTGTTTTAAAACCTGAAAATGATGCATGTCCCTTAAAACAGCTCTTCAAAACAGAACTGCATTCTGTGCCCTTGGTCCATAGGGCACAAGGCCAGTTACTTCAAAGTCATTTAATAACTGGCCTTTATAATAAATCATTTTATAAAACCAAAGATGCAAAAGAAATTTTTAAAAAAGTGTACCCATCCCGAGATTGATTACAATAATTTGCACTTAGACCCTCTACTCAGGCATCCTCATGAGCAAATGAAAGGTCTCTGGTTAGTATTGAGTCAGGAAATATATTTTCATGTTTCTCTTGGTTGCCATAATTTCACTTAAATAACTTTCTTTTACATTAACTTTCCAAAGCATCCAACACTTTCATGATCTGCTGTTTTATGGCTCTGGTAGCATCTCCTGCATTTGGAATCAAATACCTTTCAATAGCCAAGATTTCTATCCCGGAAGCACTGCTGTTTCCATACTTGAAGGTAATCAGCTCGGGATGCTTTTTTTTGGACGTAATTTTAACTACAGAATTTAGTGCTTGTCGAGACTGGATGTAAGCCAGTCCTTTCCGAGAAAGAATCTTCCTTAAGCAGTACATATGTGTTGCAGTTACGAGCAGGTGACTGGGAAACATATGTCCACTTTCCTTGACTTCTTTACAGGGAAAATGATGCTTGGTGTCTGGCTTGTTTATCCAGGTCTGAATGTTTACCACTTCCTTTCTGTCATCATCTGACGTTGAAGGACTGTCAATTTCATCTGTGTCGTACTCCTCTTCATCCCCAATGCTGAACACGGGCTTTACTCCACAGTAAGGCTTGCCCACTCGGTCGCTGCTGCTCACATGCCGGTCCACAGGAGTTGATGTATTCTCAATAAAACTGATGACCTTCTCCCTGACATTAACAGATTTCGTCTTTAGAGCCACAGTCATTTTATTTACAAGGGACTTCATTCCTCTATCATTTGAGCCATTACAAGATTCACCATCAACAGAACTGATGCTGCTCCTTGAGCCTGAGGTACTAGCAATCCAATGGCCATATCCACTTTCTGGTCCCTCCACATTAATGTCGGCCAGGTGCTGCTGCAGGGCCATAAATCCTCCACTGGCAATACTAACATATTCTTTGTTTTTCTGTAAAAAGTGTGCCAGCACCATGTTCATATACATGTCTTCTTCCTCTCGGCCACTGTCCATAAAACAGAGGTGCTCCCCACTGGCTATGGAGCCAGACTCAAGGGACTGCTTCTGTGCTTCCAGCAAGGACTTCACTGACTGTGCAAACTCTGGAGCATCAGGTCTGAATCTAAGTGGAAGGCCGTTGACAAATGCCCGGCATTATACTGTTCTGCAGGACGGCAGTCCACCACGAAGAACCAGACTCCTTCCCTTTGCAGCTGGTTTGCTTGAAGGATCTCTGACACCGAAACAGCCAGACACAGAGCCTGGCTCAGATCTGCCTCTTCATCCTTGATTCCCAATAGCGTACTACCAAAGAGATGATGATTGTCCTTCCTAAAAGAAGCTGGTGTTTTACTACAGTAATACTGAGCCAAAGAGAAGAGGTCTTCTATAGCTTCCAGATTCAAGCTAGATGGAGTATTTTCCAAGAAGTGGATAACTACTTCTTTGCTCTCAGACTCTTGTGCTGAAATGACTTCTTTTGTATTTACAAGGATAATTAACATTAAAAAATAAATAAAAAATGGATCTGCTTGCTGTAGATATCCATCCCGTATTGCCTGGGTGACTTCAATGGAACAGTAATGTGCAAAAAGGCTCCCAAGCCAGTTGAGTGCATAGGAGTCTGGAGTGATTTTCTTTGTATCAAGAAAAGAACAAAGTTCAGGCTCATGGTACTGGATGAGCAATCAGAAGAGATGAAATGGCCTCCCCTTCAGGGAACAATCCCTGGGAATGTACTTATTCATGATGGCATAAAAGCAGTTGTACAGGTCGCTGCGAGGCAGCTGGAGACACACCAGTGGCCTGAGAAGGTGGGTCCAGCTCAGGGATGTGCTGTACTTAACATTGCGTGATTTACAGTAAAAAGTAATTACAGACTCCACATCCAGAAGTAAATCTGCTGCCTTCTCCTCTGGCACTGAGAGCTGCTCAATAAACTCTAGGCAATCTTTATGAATGGTGTTCTGCTCGGGCAAGTCTAAAATACCATCCCAGGATGCTAAGCTATCGCCTTTTCCTGCAACGTTCAGAGCGATCTTCCAAACCTGGGCCCTCAGTTCAGCAGGCAGTGGTCTCCCTTGAATTATATTTCTCAAGGTTTCAAGATCACAACCTCCTGCTTCCAGGGCTTCTTCAAGATCTTTTTCCCAACTGTCCCCACCCGACGTTGACAGTGGCAGAAGCTCGTCTCCTTCCGCCATTGCAAGTATACCTCTTTAACCTAGAAAACATATCTAACATATCTACAAATTTGATTGTTATAAATGACTAACCACGATCTCTTATTTCCTGATTATCCTATATAGTTTATTTTTATTTTTTTATTTTATAATTTAATTTAATTTTACATTTCAGTCACAGATTCCCCTGTCCTCCCTCCTCCTGCCCCTCCCCTCCCCCCAACTCACCCCCCCTTTCCATCTCCTCCAGGGCAAAGCCTCCCCTGGGGGTTCAGCTCAGCCTTGTTGATTCAGTTGAGGCAGGTCCAGTCCCCTCCTCCCTTCACCCAGGCTGAACAAAGTGTCCCTCCATAGGCCCTAGGTTCCAAAATGCCAGCTCATACACTAAGGAGAGGTCCTGGTCCCACTGCCTGGGTACCTCCCAAATAGTTCAAGCCAATCAACTGTCTCACTTATCTAGCGGGACTGATCCAGTTGGGGGCTCCTCAGCTATTGGTTCATAGTTCATGTGTTTCCACTAGTTTGGCTATTTGTCCCTGTGCTTTTTCCAATCATGGACTCAACAATTCTCACTTCATACAATCCCTCCTCTTTCTTGCCAATTGGACTCCTGGAACTCTACCTGGGGCCTGGCCATGGATCTCTGCATTGGCTTCCATCAGTCATCGGATGAGAGTTCTAGCATGACAGGGTGTTTGGCTATCCGATCACCAGAGTAGGTCAGTTCAGGGTTTCTCTTGACCATTGCCAGTAGTCTATTGTGGAGGTATCTTTGTGGATTTCTGTGGACCTCTTTAGCACTTTGCTTCTTCCTATTCCCATGGGGTCTTCATTTATCATGGTCTCTTTTCCCTTGTTTTTCCTCTCTGTTCTTGATCCAGCTGGGATCTCCTACTCCCCCAAGCTCTCTTTCCCTCAACCCTTGCCCTTCATTACACCCCCTCCCCATCCAGTTTGTGCATGTAGATCTCATCCATTTCTCTGTTGTTGGGCGATCCCTGTGTCTTTCTTAGGGTCCTCTTTTCTAGGTAGCCTCCCTGGAGTTGTGAGTAGCAGTCTAGTCATCCTTTGTTTTACATCTAGTATCCACCTATGAGTGAGTACATAACATGTTTGTCTTTCAGAGTCTCAGTTACCTCAATCAGGATGATTTTTTTCTAGATCCATCTATTTGCCTGCAAACCTCATGATGTCATTGTTTTTCTCTGCTGAGTAATACTCCATTGTGTATATGTACCACATTTTCTTTATCCATTCTTTGGTTGAAGGGCATCTAGGTTGTTTCCAGGTTCTGGCTATTACAAATAATGCTGCTATGAACATAGCTAAGCATATGCCCTTGTGGTATGATTGAGCATTCCTTGGGAATATGATATAATTTATAATAACAGCTTTCAAAAACTAGAATTTTACATTAACTTTTTAAATAAACTGTGTAGATTTCAATACTTTAAACAAGAATAGAATCACATATACAATATGTTGTAACAAAAATAACCTTAAACTTTTATCAATATACAAAAATCCTTTTTTTTTCCAAGACAGGGTTTCTCTGTGTAGCTTTGCGCCTTTCCTGGAACTCACTGTGTAGCCCAGGCTGGCCTTGAACTCACAGAGATCCACCTGCCTCTGTCCCTCCCCCATCCCTGAGTGCTGGGATTAAAGGCATGTTCCACTACCATCTGCCCAAAAATCCTTTAAACAAGAGTAGAAACATATGTACAGTGTAACAAAAACAACTTTAAATTTGTATGAACATTCTGTATTCCCCTAAAAGGATAACAAACATCCATAACCCATCAAATAATCAAAAGCCACCCCCCCTGGATTTTTGGGAATGTTGGCATAGTTTTTTCCATATATCTTCCTGCTGTCTGTGGATGAATTATCTTTGGGGTCCCAGAGAGAAAATTTTGAGATAATGACCAAGTCCTCGGAAGACCAGCAGTAACCTTTGTCAAGTTCAGGAGGTCTTACCTGATCAAACCTGATCCATATTAACCCTGAAGGAATCCACAGCCTCATATCTCCAGTGGGAACAAAACTCCAAAGCATTTTTGATTTCCATTTGACAAATATGTTTTTTGAATTTGTTTTAAGTTAAGGTGTGGGATGACTCATCCCTAACAGGCTTGAGGACCAGCCGGCTCAAACAAGTAAAAAAGATACTTTCTGAGAGTCAACTTGGGTCTGCCTAAGGGCCTTAGCAACAGCAGCTGAAACATGATATGGAGATGACCTGGACCAATGAGAGGCAGCCATATCACACCAGCAGATGCATATTCATCAGACCTCCCCCAGGGTGGGGTGGAGGGTATATAAGGGTTGCCTCTTCCTGGATAAACTGAGCTTGTTTCGACATTCTCCCAGAATCTGTGTGGTTTGACTCTGTGCCTACTTTCAGGGGACAACAGCACAGGACCCTGCCACATTAAGGCATTTCTAAAGTATGTAGATTGATTCAATTTAGCAGTCCAGTTCACAATCCAGGTGTCCTAGCATCTGTCTTTTGCTTCTCAACAGTCAAAAAATTCAAAATCAACACATATGGGATCCAAACTATCTGTGTATTTCCTATCTCTACATGGCTTCTTATTTTTATTCTCTCTTTAAAGACTTTATAAACTATTTATTTCTTTTTCTATGACTATACTCTTCTTCTTTTCTTAAGCCTACATACATTGTTAAACATGCTGTAACTTGCTTAGAGGTTTTTCCATCGAGATCTCTTTTACTGCATACCTCTAGTCTTTTTGAACCATGTGAACAAGCTTTAGACTGATAAGGTACACCTGAATTCTTCACATATGCGGCTCTCCACTGGCTCTGCTTGCTTCTTGGATTGTGAAAGCCAAGTGTAAAGCCAGTTGGAGGTTTGTCTGACCAAGAACTGCTTTCAACCTTTCTAGAGGTCTAGAATGCCAATGCTTGCACTGTGGTAAGCTTTTTCACTTAGCTTTTTTTTTTTCTACTTAACTGCTCAAGGGCTCAGTGACTGGCAGAAATGGTCTGGTTGAAACTATTAAAGGAGCCATACTCCTCCCCACTTTTTTTCTTAAACCCTACTTGGAAATATGGCCATTGGAATGCCAAATTGTTGTTGTTTGTTTTAATCTTTTTTGAGGGGCCTTCCACCCCTCTATACATGTACTATACATGTACTGTGACATGCATGTCACAAAAGGGCACAGAAATAATAATAGCAATAATAAATCTTATATAAAGTTGATGGAGAATATTGATATGCCTATCTCACGGAATTTTAAGTTTTACTGGAGCTGTATGTCAATAAAAATTATGTTGATTTCTATATTCTATAAACCCAAAATCTGTGTTAACTTTGTGTTAAGATAAAAAATAACAAATATGCTTACTCTATTTTGTTTCTAAATTTATTTAACTCAGTTGTGCTCTGTTATTAGCTGCCTATGTCTAAACATGAAAAAGAGCACCAGACTTTAGTTACAGAGATTATAGTGCAGTACTAACATTTGCCTCTAAAATAAACAGGTTTTTGTCAGATGACTTTGCAGGGTGCACAGTCAGAAACTGAGGCCAAATAAGAGATCCAGCATCTTCCCAAAGAATCCATTAAAGCCTGGAAGCTTACTAGAGCAAGTAAGCAAAATGCTTTGAACTTAAGGTGAGGTCAAGGTCACTGCAACTTCCTGGGTCTTATGAAGACAGCACAGTGTGATCTGATGGCATAGAACTCAGAGCCTGGAGGCAAGGCAGGGTCTCCAGAGCCAGGGCTTTGCTAGCCTTGTTCTCAGGCATTCACTCAACCTCCCAGCTTTCATTTCAGGTGGTAAGATGAGAACTGTTACAGTTGGCCACCTTCCTTCTTTGTGATTGTGAAAAGCATTAAAAGTCCTCACAGCAAATGACCTCCATTGTTAATTGTTAATTATGTGCTAATTGCAGGCTGAGTGTACCTTCTCTGAAATGCTTGGGATCAAAAGTTTCAGATTTCATAGCATTTCATATTTCAGATGTGAGATGCCCAATCAACCAATGCAAGGTAAGCATGGGGCACACGGGATGGGGGTGGTAATGGTGGTGGGGGTGGTTGTGGTGGTGCTGGTAAATTTAGCTATATATTTGAATTGAGTTATGTCAGTACTCACTTTTGATGGGATTTATTTAACAGGTTTCAGGCAAGCTTCAGGGTATGGAATCTTCTGTGCCAAGCACTGGCCCGGCCAGCAGGGTCTTCAATGGGGACCTGAAGGGAGGGTCAGCAAATGAAAGGGATGTGAGACACAAAGAATGAGAGCAAGACAGGATGTCTGATCAAGCTCTAAAATTTTATTTTCCTCTTAAGGCATAGGCAGGGGCAAAGGGGAGTAAAAGCAGGGAGGGACTTTAATTATGGGTTGTTCAGCCAGCAGGGAATGCTGCTCTGGGGGTTATCTATCTACTCTTACCTAATTGCCTAACTGCAGCTCGGTCACCTGATTTCTGAGAAGAGGCTCTGATATTTGTGAGAAGAGGTGCTGGTGCTATGGATGTAAGGATTCGGTCCTTAATTACATCATCAGCCTGTGACAGCATCCCAGCCTAAAAAGTGGGTGGGCCCTCTGTGTGCCCCCTTCTCTTTCTGCTCTCTCCCTCTGTCTGTTCTTTCTTCCCCCTCTCTCCCCCTCTTTCCCAATAAAGCTCTAAAAAGGTAACCATGTTCTATGATTCTTTCAACCATCATTCTTCTCCACCAGTATGGCCTCTGTGGGTGGCGGCCTGCCATGAGCAGCACTCCCTTTAACCAACATTGGTGCCGTTCAGACTCAGATACACCACTGAGCACCAAGGACCTGCTGTGACCGCTGCCACCTGCCGCCTCTCCCCCCATCCAGTGAGATGCGCATTCCTCATCACTTCTGCTGGACCACCACACAACTACCGCTGCCATCACCACAGTGAGTCTGCTGTTCTCACTGCTGTAGTCTGACCTATATTCTTTGTGACAGACACCCCGGGGGTTGTCCTTGGGCTGTGCTAGCAAAGGCAGGCACATTTTCGCTCCTGACAAGGAAGTA